ATGGGTTTTGGCCCAATTAATTTTCTTTCATGTTACCTGGTTTATTTGGGTAGTATTTTTTAAAGGCCAAAAACATTTTTGGTAATTAGGGTTAGGGTCGAAAATGATTTCGGTCACTATAATTTTAATTTTCAGAATTTGGTCACCACATTTGCAATAGTTAGCAAATCAAGTAAAATGTCTCAATTCCGTCAATTTCATTCATTTAAAAATATTTAATATTAAATTAAAAATAATTACTTCAATATAAAAGGAGTCCGGTTTTCTTGGAATTGGTATAGGGATGACGTTAGTCGAGTGTATTCCGCAGATTGATACATCTATGTTGAAGTTGAAAAATGAGAATGTGAAGGATGGCTTTGATTCAAAGAATTCAAACCCTCTCTTACACACTTATGAAGTTTAGTCATCTTCTGAATATATGTATGTATTGCATCCACGGTTTAGTTTGTTGTGTAAGTTCTTGCTTGTCTTTGATCTTAAACACTAACCTTGGTCAGACATGGCTTTGGTGAAGGTAGAGAAATCTTCTTCTCCTATGCAGTCCTTTAACTCTCTCTCTAGATGGGGTGAGATATCAATATGAGTGTGTTTGACTGCTAGGGAAGGGATCTCTATATATATATGCATTGTCTAAGTATTTTGCCCATCGAAGAACACGTAACAAATCCTGATTGCACTAGGATAGAATGTTTTAATCCATGTAGGACTAGGAATCCTCAAAGCTCTAGTTTTCTAATTAAACTACACTTTAAACTAGAACAACAGATATGCTCGAAGGATGTTTCTTGATTAATACTAAACCGCAACTCCTTATGTGATTAGAAGACCATTCTAATATGGTTTAAGACAATGTAATGTCTTACATTCTCCCACTTGGTCAAATAGTCACAACAGTTAATAGTATTACTCACTTTAAGTCCTTGTGAAACATAACTAAGCAAAAATCTCTACTAAGCCACTGTCAATTATGAAGAATATAAAATTCTTGAAACACTGTTTTTCCGATGTTTTGGTTTTCATCTATGTCCATTTTCTAGTTTCATCAATAACTAATATGAACATATGATTGTACAATGTTCATGACCAAACTACATAAGGCTTCAATCAAGATTAAAACTGTAGAATGTTCATGACCAAACTATCTGTGCTAATAGATATGTCATGCTCATTCATTGTCCCCTAAATGATTGCCAAGGTCTAGTTAAAATTGAACAAATGCCATGAATATACTATACCATCACATCTACCTTAATTGCTAGCTTTTATTGCCTTATATGTATATTCCAGTATCAAACATAAACAAAATAGACTAAGCAATAAAATAACTCAATCAAAATTTCACTTTATGAATCCTCAAACTTTCTAAATATCCATCGAAACCTTTACTAGTTAATCAAAACATAAATGATAAAAACTCTAGTTAAAACAAAAACACTCCCACTGATTCAGCCACTCATATTTTCTATTAATCCCATACTTTGAACGTGCCTGTGAAAAGCTGCATTTGGCATCGCTTTAGTAAGAGGATCTGCAATCTTCTCTGTAGTACTGATGTGTTCCAAAGCAGTGTAGCCATCTCTTATCTTTTCTTTAATTGTAAGAAATTTAACATCCAGAATTCTTGAAGCCCTTGTCCTTTTGTTTCTCTTTGCAAACAAAACCGCTGCACTGTTGTCATGCCATAGTTGTATAGGTCTATGTATAGATTCAACTACACTCAAGCTAGTGATAAAATTCTTTAACCACATAGCTTGAGCAGTAGCCTCATAACAGGCCAAGAATTCTGCTAACATTGTAGATGCCACTGTGAGAGGTTGCTTGATACTTCTCCATGACACAACATCACTTACAAATATGAACACATACCCTGATGTTGATATGAGATCATCCTTACAACCTGCAAAATCAGCATCTGCAAAACCTTCTAATTTCAAATTGTTGCTTCTTCTGAAAACCAATTTGTAATCTTTGGTTCTCTGTAATATCTCAACACTCTCTTGCTTGCAATCCAATGAGCTTATCTAGGATTTGATTGAAATCTACCTTGCACATTAATAGTAAAGGCTATGTCAGGTATAGTGCAGACTTGTGCATACATAAGATTGCCTACTAAGGAGGTATAAGGTTCGTCACTAATCTCTATTTTCTCTTGTTCAGGCCTTGGTGCTTGTTCCTTGCTTAACTTGTCTGCTTTTGAAATAGGCATATCGATTCCACCACATCCTTGCATGTTGAATATCTGCAATACTTTTCTATATAATTCTTTTGTGATAATCCAAGAACCCCTTTCTCTCGATTCTTGCTAATTTCAATTCCCAAAACATAGGATGCTTCACCAAGATCTGTCATTTCAAAATGTTAGACAAGAATTCTTTACATATATGTAGCATTGATAAATTTGTGCATGCTAATAAGATGTCATCCACATATAACACCAATATGATGAAATGCCTCCCACTCTTCTTCATGTAAATGCACTCATCCAATGCATTTTCTGTAAAACCATATTGCTTAACAACTTCATCAAATTTGATATACCACTGTCTAGAAGCTTGCTTAAGACCATAAATCGATTTACATAGTTTGCATACTAGATTTTCTCCATTCTCTTGAGTGAAACCTTCTAGTATAGTTTGCATACTAGATTTTCTCCATTCTCTTGAGTGAAACCTTCTAGTTGTTTCATATATATTTTCTCTTCTAGGTTTCCATTCAAGAATGCAGTCTTTACATCCGTTTGATGTAAGTGTAAATTGAAATGTGCTACCAAATGTCATGATTAGTCTAAATGAGTCTTTGGTTGAAATTGGTGAATAGGTTTCATTGTAATCTATCCCTTGGCAACTCATCTTGCCTTATATCTGTCAATCTGTCCCTTAGAGTTTCTCTTGGATTTGAAAACCCATTTGCAGCCTATAGGTTTGCAGTTTTGTGATAGGTTCACTAGTTCCCATACACCATTTTTCTCCATAGAGCTTAATTCTGATTTCATAGCTCCCCACCAATTTTCACTTTTCTCACTAGACATTGCTTGTTTATAGTTCATGGGATCTTCAATTGCATTCAAAACAGGCTTAGATTCTTATAAATAGGCATAGTAGTCATTAGGTAGTGCTCTTTTCCTTGGTCCTTGTGATCTTCTCAACTCTATGTCCATTTGTTCATGGTTTTATTTTATTGGTTGATTTTGATTTGTGTTTTTTGGTGGCAGAACTTGTTGTTCTTAAGTCTCTTGTTAAAGTATCAGTCGATCTCCAACTATTTCATCTTCCTGTACAGATTGCTTGTTGCTTAAGTTAAAGCTAGGTAACACCAGTTTTCTGTTATTTGCATTAGAATTCACTGTGTCTCCATTTTCTGTTATAACTTCATCAAAATCAAAATTTTCTTCTTCTATTTTCTCAATTTTCAGATTCTATAAATACTGCCCTTTGAGTTTCTACAAATTTGGTTGTATTTTGAGGGCAGTACAATCTGTAGCCCTTAATTCTTTCTGGATAACCAACCAAATAGCCACTGACTGTTCTTGAATCCAACTTTTTTTCCATAGGATTGTATAATTTTTCTTCAGCTTTACAGCCCCATACTCTAAGGTGATATAAACTTGGTTTTCTTTTAACCCAAACTTCATAAGGGATAGCATTTACACTAGGTACTCTATTCAATATATAGTTTGCAATTTTCAATGCTTCTTCCTAGAGAAAGATTGGCAATTTTGTGTAGCACATCATGCTTCTTATCATATCTTTTAAGGTTATGTTCCTTCTTTCTATAATTCCATTCTGCTGTGGAGTGCTTGGATTGGTATACTATGCAAAAATCCCTTCTTGTTGCAGGAACTTAGCAAATGACCTAGGGTTTCTCCTAGTTTCATCAAACCTTCCACAGAACTCCCCTCCTCTGTCAGATCGAACCACTTTGATCTTTAAGTCCAACTATTTTTCTACCTCTACTTTATAGATTTTGAACATGTCCAATGCACTAGATTTTTCTTTAATAAGAAAAACATGTCCATATCTAGAGTAGTCATCTGTAAAAGTTATAAAATAGTTGAACCCTTCATGAGTTGGAGTTGAAAAAGGTCCATAGATGTCTGTGTGTATTAGTTCCAGTACACCTTTGCTCCATATTGCTCATTTTTTTCCTCAAGTTGGTTAATTTTCCTTTGACACATCCAATGCAAACTTCTTATGTGTTTTAGTTCAATGGTGGTATGACTAATTCTTTGCATAAGGTTTTAATTCTTTCCTTTGAAATGTGGCCAAGTCTTTTATGCCAAAGTGTGTATGAAGCTTCTTTGTTTGTTTGTGATTGAATAGAATTGATTTCTATAGTTGTTTTGCAATTCAATTGAAACATCCCATCCATAATACTTGCTTTTCCAACTAATTCTTTATTTCTGAAAATAGAACAACCAAAATCATCAAAGTTCACTTGAACTGTGATGCTATAAGTCTAGCAACTGATATTAGGTTCTTCCTTATAGAAGGCACATAATAAATCACATCTTCTAAATCCAAAATAAAACCAAAATCTAATTCAATCCTAACTACTCCAATGAAATCTACTTGAACTTTATCTCCATTGCCCACGAACACCTTCACTTCATCCATGCTTGGTAGCCTCTTCCTTATGAAACCTTGCAAAGAATTAGTCATATAAATAGATGCTCCACTGTCTAACCACCATGAGTCACTTGAGAAATCAACTAAATTAGATTCAAAACAAACCAAAATCTTATTAATATTACCTTTAGCCTTTTGTTTGTCCAACCATTTCTTGTACCTCCACATTCCTTCTTCATGTGTCCATTTTTCTTGAAGAAGAAGCATTATATTCCAACTGGTTTTAGAGCATTTGAATTGCCTTTCTCTTTTTGCTTTCTAGTTTCTATGTTCTTGTTCCCTTTGTATTGCCTAGTTTGAATCATATTTACCACATTTATGCCTCTTTCCCGAATCAGATTGTCTTCTATCTCAACACTTATGGTGATGAGATCATTGAGTATCCAACTTTCTTTCTGTGCTATATAGGTATTTCGAAGAGATTTTGAATTCCTTAGGCAGTGAATTCAAGGCAAAGTGAACCATCATGTCTTCATCCACTGTCATATTCAGTTCCTGCAGTTTTGCCCCAATGTCAATCATATTCATGATGTGAGCTCTCACACACCCTTGTCCATCATATTTCATATCAGTTAGCTTGTTCAGTAGTGAGCTCTTGGCAGATTTCTCAGAAACTTTGAATCTTTGACCAATGTTCTCATAGCACTCTTTTGCATTGTCAATCTTTGGAATGCTTCTCTTGACAGAAGATGCCATAGACCTTTGCATAATCAACATAGTCATTCCATTTGTCTTTTCCCATTTGACATATCGAGCCTTAGATTCTGCAAAAGCATCTGCATCAAGTACTTGAAGAGGATTTTCTTTGAGGACAAAGTCATAATCCAATAGTCCTAGAGAAATAGCCAAATCTTGTTTCCACTTTGAATAGTTTGTTCCAGTTAATGTTTCGATGGAGTGATAGTTTGAGGTATTCATTGTAAACAATAATCACATAAATAAAATTGTCCAAAAGAAAAACTATATTTAAACATTATTAACTCATGTCTTTGGATCATGAGTTAAATGAGTTAAATATGTTCCAGAACACTGAATTATTGTAGTTTAACAAAACTTCCTATACAAGAAAACTCTCATCTTTCGATTAAAAAGCTTTCTCATTAGTTTATGTAAACTTTTTCTTCATGTTGTTCCACCACAATCATCATCAATCTATACCTCTATACCTTTCCCATGTTTGAATCAAGAAATGTGTAGAAGGTTGTTAACTGTGGTGCAATCTTTTAATCATTCTGTTGAGTGAAAACTATATCTGCAAAAGTTAAGCTGCTTTGGCTCGCTTAACTTATGCAACTGCAATTTTCATTCTTTGATCTTAAACACATGTAAGTTCTTGCTTGTGTTTGATCTTAAACACTAACCTTGGTCAGACATGGCTTTGGTGAAGGTAGGGAAATATTCTTCTCCTATGCAGTCCTTTAACTCTCTCTCTAGATAGGGTGAGACATCAATATGAGTGTGTTAGACTGTTAGGGAAGGGATCTCTATATATATGCATTGTCTAAGTATTTTGCCAATAGAAGAACACTTAAACAAATCTTGATGGCATTAGGATAGAATGTTTTAATCCATGTGGGACTAGGAATCCTCAAAGCTCTAGTTTTCTAATTAAACTGCACTTTAAACTAGAACTGCAGATATGCTCGAAGTATGTTTCTTGATTAATACTAAACTAAAACTCCTTATGTGATTAGAAGACCATTCCAATATGGTTTAAGATAATGTAATGACTTACATGTTGGCCTATATACTTGAAAAACCTTTAGGAACTGACACTAATTTTGCATTATTCTCAGGCCTTACGTACAGTTGAAGTATGGTCAAAAGACACTTGACCACCAACACGCCAAATCCCCCTACACATAATTGGGGTAGTGGGGTCATGTTGTTACCTATCAGTTGAGGCTAGATAAAGCGCCCACTTCACAGAGGCTAAATATAGTGAGCACTTCGCAACCCTTAGACTTGGCACGACTCCCTAAAACCCAAAACTCCTGCGGATAATTCATTGTTTGACGTAAAAGGATACAAATACAAAAAAATGCAACCCATCGAATCTCACTATACATGTTGATGTCACTCAATATCTATCCCACAAGGTACATAACTGGTGATACGTAGTCCACATATGGATGTTAGTAGGTAGTTGGTGCAGTAAATAGATGTGGATGTATTACAATTCTATCCTTTTATGCATTTCTAAATAATTCTATTGGGTTATTTACTCAAATGGTCCTCAAACTTATACCTAATTTACATTTTGGTCCCTCAATTGAATTATTCGTTCAAATGGTCCATCAACTCTATATTATTCAGTCCATATATTATTCGGTCCATTGGTCATACCATTAAATATGAGGGACCAAAATGTAAATCAAGTATAAATTTGAGGACCATTTGAATAAATAATCCTAATTCTATTTCATTGGTGTCATTGTTTAGCTATTGCACTTTGAGTGATGCATAAAGTTTGTTCTTTATTCGTGGATAATTTTGCTTTTAACACTTGCATAATACTGTGAAGCACCTCAGTGGATATAAAAATAACAAGTTATGTGGTGAATTTTTCCCGGATGCATTAAGACAAAATTCACACCAACAAGATTTGGGGACTTCGTGAAGCAACTTGTAAGAAAGGAAGATGAGCCAAACACTTATCACATTAGCGAAATAATGGTGGGACACTACCCAGACATAATCATGATAAGGTCAAGGCGCTTACAATGAACCTTAAGGACTTTAGAGCGATTACGTGGTTGCCAATTTTAGGGAAGCCAATAGAGTATTTCATGGAGGTACAATAAAAAAACGTGGAGGTTACGAGGTTCTTCTGAAAATCTATTGTCAGCATGAAGAAAGCAAAAATGAAGTATTATTGATATAGTGGACGTGTATTTTAATTTAAAACTAAAGACCCCTATAGAGGACACGGATCTTCAAACTCGCATTACTCGGCTCCACATTATGCATCTTCACTACATGTCAAACCTAACAAAAGTGAATGAGATTGAGAGTTCGATTGGGTCGGGGTTAGATTGGCATGCTTCTATTGGTTGATGAACATTATTTTCGTGAACAAGGTCAATTGGGTAATCAAAATGAATATCATGTTGGGTATAACTCCATGTATAATTATGAAGTGTCATTGTTTCCATGACAATCATCACACCACTAATTTTGAATCGTCAAAATTTTTAGGTTTTTATACTTCAATCATGATAATAATCGATTAGCAAATGATGTGGCAGAAAGAGATGAATATATAATGCATTCACTTGTCCAAGCCCAAATTCCTCATTGAGTTTAAGCCCAAATTTTGTGAAGCTAAACCCAAACTAAGGTAGATGATATCTCAAGCATCAAAATCTAATTTTAAATTTTAAATGACATAAAAGAAAGGAAAAAAATAAACATTGTGGGCTTCAATTTTAGCGCATGCTGACCAAACTAACAAAATCATGAAAGCCATTAACAAAAATGTTAAAAACACCCACTACTACAAAAAGGGCAAAAGACGACCAGAAAAAGACGATGGTAGAACAAAAAACCGTCGTTGTTTTTAAAAAGACGACGGTAATAAAAAACCGTCGTGTATAAGTGACTTAAACAACTAAAAAATGGAGATACTGTTGAGAATTTTTTTATAACGACGCACACAAATAAAAAAGCGTCGTCTTATTAAAAAGCTTTTCTGCAGAGTTAAAATTTGACCAAAAAATAACGACAGCAGGTATGACAAGCGTCGTCTTTTAAAAATCAAGTGTCCTTTTTTTGGTAAAGACATGGTTGTTTTAAAAATCAAGCGTCTATTATAAGTAAAGACGACTGTTGTTTTTATAAAAAGGGTCGTCTATTATTAAGTAAAGACGACCCTTTTTATATGAAAAGGGTCGTCTATCATGAAGTAAAGACGACCCTTTTTATATGAAAATGGTCGTCTATTATGAAGTAAAGACGACCCTTTTTATATGAAAATGGTCGTCTATTATGAAGTAAAGACGACCCTTTTTATATAAAAAAGGTCGTA